AACAACTGCTCTCTGTACGCTCCAATCAACACCACCTTCTGGTTGCCAGCCATTTCAACTCCCCTTCCTACTCACTTAGCAATGTATCTATCCTGGGCGTTCCTCCAATGTCACAATGAGGCCATACAAAAATTGGAGGGACAACACCTTATATTCTGCCTTGGGAGCTTACTGCCCAACGACTTCAATGTAGAATTCACTAGCTTCAAAATCTCTCCAGCCCTGGCCACATCCCCTGTCAAGCTCTCCCTCTTATCCCAGCTTCCTTGACCTGACACAACCTGTCCATCTTCCTTCTCACCTATCCACCCCACCCTTCCCGTTGACCAATCTCCACAAACCCCTACCACATCTACATATCACTGCCTCACCTCCTTACCTCTATTTATTTCTGAGGCCCCTTCCCCCTCCCCAGTCGGATGAAGGGTCCCAACCTGAAATGCAACTTTCCTGTTCTTCTGATGCTGCCTGACTACTGTGTTCCTCCAGCTCCACACTGTATTGACTCTGACTTCCAGCATCTGCAGTTCCTGCTATCTCCTAGTTGTTTTTAAGGGGCCCTATTCTCTCCCTAGTTGCTGTTTTGCCCCTAATGTACTTGTATAATCACTATGGATTCTCCTTAACCTTATTTGCCAAAGCTGTCTCGTGTCCCCTTATTTTGCCCTCCTGATTTTTCCTTTAAGGAAGATAGTCTGCTATACTTGCCTGGCCTGTTTGTGACTCCAAAGTCTCCATAATATGGTTGACTCTTAACTGCTCTCTGGGAAATCAAGAATGGGTAATGAAACACTGGTCTAGCTAATGAACACACCATGAACAATGATATTTAAAAAATGAATTTTCCTGATATCAATGTCCTGCTGAATCATGCAACAAAGACTATACAAGCAGAAGTTCCTTTGGGCAAGAGTGATCCTGACATCACATTCAGTTTTAGGGTGAAGAACCTTAGTTTTAAATTGTCTTCGAATAAAGGAAATTAGAAAGCTGTGAAGACAGTTGGTTGCAGTATTTTGGGGAAAAAAATCTTAGAAGGTAAGATGCATTTAATGAGATATTTGGTATAATGAAGTGGAAGCACTATCTGTGGTTAACTAGCAAAGTTAAGAATGCTACTAAATTGAAAGAAAATGTATTCAATGCTGCAAAGATTAGTGGTAGGCTTGACATTCAGTAGAAATGTATGTTGAGAAGCGGACATAAATCTGCAAAGGGATAATGATAGGTTACGTGAGTGGACAAACATGTCAGTTTGAATATAGTATAAAGTATGAATTTATCCACTTTCGCAGAAAGAATAAAAAGCAGTATATTATTTAAACAGAAAGAGATTGTAGACTTTTGAAGTGCAGAAGTTTCTGGGTGTCCTTGGATGTGAATCAAAGTTAATAAGCAGGTGCAGCAAGTGATTAGGTAGACAAATGAAGTGATGTTTGTTGCAAGGGGAGTGGAGTATAGAAGTGGGAATGTTTTGCTATAGTTTTATAGAGCATTGCTGATGCGATACCTGGAATACTGTGCATTTGCTTTTTCCTCCTTATTGAAGAGGATATAAATGCATGAGAAGGGAATATACCAGCTTGCTAATGATGCAAAGCTAAGTGGAGAAGTGAGCTTAGAGGAAAATGGAGAGAAAATGCAAAGGGATTTATGCAGGCTAAATAAGTGGACATGAATGTTGTAAATAGAATGCTACATAGGAAGATTTGAAACAACCTATTTGGCTAGGAAAAATAGAGAATGGGAAAATGTTTTAAATAATGAGACTGAGAAATTGTGGTATTTGGGGTATCCTTGCACCACAAAATTATCATGAAGATACAATTTAGGAACCAATTAGCAAAGCAAATTGCAGGTTAACCACATTTAATACAAAGCAATTGGCATATAATTGTGAAGACATTCTATCACCATTGTATAAAACATTTTAATGAAAAGACACTTAAAGTATTGCATACAGTTTTGATCTCCTTCCTAGAGCAAGGATACTCTTGGAAAGATTGTACCTCAGATTCACCTGATGCATTTCTGAGATGAAGGGAGCATCCTTTTGAGGAGAGATTTAGTAGATTCAGCCTAATTGCCTTAAGGTTTAGAAGAATGAACGGTAATCTATTTGAAACATGTAAGGGGTTGGATTTTCAGATGTAAAAATTTTCTGAAGCTTTGTCGCTTACAGAGGAGCGCGTAAAAGGACTGATTCAAAAATCGCTGACTGAGAAATTAATGTTACATTTCTAGAAGCACGTTACTGAAACTTGTATGTGGTGTTTAGCCTTCTGCTTTGTTCGGGCATTGGGAGAAGCTGTTTCTTAATTGTACAGTACTGGTAGACATGTACAGAGATTTTGCTGGCAATAAGTAGCTGATTGGTTTGTATAATTGTGACTATTTGTGGATGTTTGACGACAGCTCTTTTGGTTCGTAGGCAGCTGAACAGCTTGCGTGTCAGATAGCGTTCTTTCTTGCTTTCTTTCCTCTTTCTTGCTTTCTTTCTTCCTCTTTCTCTCTTTTTCTCTCTCTCTCTTTCTCTCTGTCTCTCTTTCTGTCTCTGTCTCTCTCTCTCTCACTGGTGTGCGCTCTCGCTCGCTCGCGCTCTCTGTCTTGTATGCGTACTCTCTCTTTCTTTCTCTCTCTCTCTCTCTCTACGTGCGCTTGCTCGCTCTCTGGTGCGGCGCTTTCTCTCTCTGTCTCTTTTGCTTGCTGTCTCTGGTGTGCGCGCGCTCTCTTGCTCGCACTGTCTGCCGTGTGCGTGCGCTCTGGCTTGCGCGCACAATCTCTCTGGTGCGCGCACTCTCTTCGCGCTCGCTCTTGCTCTCTCTGGTGTGTGCATGCTCTCTCGCGGTCTGTCTGTGGTGCGCGCACTCTCGTGCTCTCTCTGTGGTGCTCGCGCTCTCTGTGGTGCGCGCGCTCTCGCGCTGTCTCTGTGGTGCGCGCGCGCTCTTTTCCTGTCTTTCTGTCTCACTTGCTCCAGTTAAACACACTGAAGGAAGTCCGTCTTTTCTCTTACCAGGTGCTCTGGACTGGGCCTTTACGAAGTAACTAAAAGAATTTGTACTTAGTATACCATATGCCATGTGTTTTCTGCAGAATAGTGGAAAGAACCTGAAGAAGGAAGATTGAAGAACAAAGTCCTGGCAAGCAATAGGGTCAACTCTGTGAACCCAGGGAACTGATTCTGTTTAACTGTAGTTGCAGTTTTATTTTGCCTCCATCCCTAAAACTTTATTTGTCTGTCTGTATATATGCATGTAGGGGTTTTAAAATGGGGTTGTAGAGATGTGTGTTAGTAATCCATAGCTACTTGTGATGGAATTTTTGGTTAAGTGCATGAACCTAGTCAGTGTTTTCTGTTAACTTGATTCCAACAGGCATAAATCTTTGCAGGCTTTGATTAGCTCATTAACATTTGTAGTGACTGTGGGTGTACTGAGAGTTGAAAAGCAGTGCACCTTCCCAAGTGGATCATAACACTAATATTAGGGTTTCCTGCCATGCCCGTGCCAGTTGCAATAGTCCCTCGGCTGATTAAAGCTCACCTACACTGAGGAGTGCCAATTGGCCAAAGACTGGATTTTTGCCCCTCATAATCTGATGGCTGGGAGCTGTGCAGTCCTATCAGTATCAGTGGCAGCAATGAACAGGACTGGGACCCCTGCCATCCCCAGAGTGAAGGAAGAGGTGCATGCAGAGGATCTTACATCAGAAGACAAGGCTGATCATGATTGTCTTGCTGGAGTGACTGGGGTAAGGAAGCGTTCATGGGTCTGATCTTTGTGTTGGCCTTAAAGGAAGCTGTCTCACCTCCCTCTTATAGCCCTTCCTGTCCAAGACCTGCGCAGGGTCGATTCTGGTCTTGCCCCATCATTCAACTCCTCTCACCAGCCTCAGTGGTGCTGGGCGGGAAGTGGTCCTTGAATGGACCAATGATTGTCCCAACAGGACAAAGATGGGCAGATCATCCTAGGCCTCACCTGTCCCATGTAAAATTACAGGCAGGTGTATAAAACTGTCTGAGAAGTAAAAATACAGTTTTTGTTGAGCGTCTGGTCTTGTGGAACTCTTTTCCTACAAATTGAAAATACAGATTTTGCACCAGATTGCTTCAATATTATTTGAGAAATAAACGCACTATTTCCTCAAAATCTGGCTGTTATAATTTCAGCGCCTATTATAACTTTAGCACCTGTTATTGAAATAAAACAGCTTCCTAACTGCCAATTTCCTGGGCAGAGTCCGAGCTTGGGATTCACTGTTGTAGCAACATTATAGCTTCTACAATCTTCACTGCCCAGAAAGTAACCTAACAGAACTATTCAGAGCATTCTAAGCAGGCATGCTATAACAATTATAGATTATGGCAAGATGTAATTTTGTTGAATAGCAAGTGCAAGGGTCTAAATGTCTTACTTCCATTTCTCCTGTTCTTTTATGCATGCAGCAGAAACTCCCCTTCAATATTGTAAAGCTACCGTTCAGACTCCACATTTTTCAACATGTTCACCTAGTATCACATTATATTATTTCCTTGAGTATTTAATCAGCAATTCACCATTCATATGATAATCAAGAATTTTCTGAATAGAAGTTAAAATAATGTTGGCATTATTATAATTGTATGGATTTTTAAATTTTTTTGATATATTGTTTCTTAATTGCCTTAGAAGGAATAGAAATTGACCCTATGTTTTAGACCTAATAGTTCAACGCAGGTTGTTCTGGCTGTGAGATTAACCCAACAGATAGTGTCAGTTTTTCATTTGAAGATGTTGGTCTTCAACAGGATGTACCATTAATTGCTCAGATGCTGTCTGACTTAACCTATCGATGAGATCCTTCATCACAGAGAATTTGGTGAATGGTCTTGTCCAAAATGATCTTTCTCCTCATTCAAACACTGACACTGTTATATTTCAGGTACCTGGCGTTCACTTTTTTTTTATCCATTTGTGTCTAGCTGTCCTGTTTGAGATTTAATATTTCTTTCTCTTAAATAGGTTGTCATTTTTGGAAGTTGGCACTGAGTATGGCACAACTATATCATCTGCTTTACAGGAGCTTAAAACTAACTATCAGAGTACAATGCAGAAAGTGCTGGAAGGAATGACGTTGGACAATCTTCCTTTGTTGTCTGTTGAGTTGGAAGGACTGTCAAATTCTCCATTTGTTCCTGCTATGGTATGCTTGAGTTATTATTTTTACATTTGATACTAGCCAGGATGATGTCCATATTGTCTACATAATTCTCCTCCTTTTAGATTAGCCTGATCTCTATCATGAATGAAAATTATAACCATCTTTAAAAGTCTTCAGATCAATGTATATACATAGAAATTCTCTTTGCTTGATATACACATTCCTTTAGAAGTGTATTCCATTTTTCTGTAGAGCTGGAGTTCATACTGGAAGGCCTAGACTTCTTGATCACCAAACATGTGCTCAGTTTTTATTAGAATTTCATCAATTTAAAACTATGCTGCTTGCTGGCTTAAAGCAATTGTATTATTTGTGTGATGTGGGTATTACTGACAAGATTAATACTTATTTCCCGATCTTAATTGCCCTTGAGAATTCATAGTGAGCTGTCTTGCTGAACTTCTGCAGTCCATGATGTTTTGGTGCAACCATAGACCTCTTTTAATGCAAGATGCCATGTGACTTGCACGTGAATTTCCAGTTGGTGTGTCCCTTTGTCTGCTACCCTCATTCTACTTGGTGGTGCAGTTGCGGATTTGAGAAATAAAGCAGAGTTGAAGTAGCCAAGGCAGGTTGCTGCAGTGCTGCTGGTGCACAGTGCAAACACAGCTTCAATGGTAATCCGAGACAACAAGGTGCAGGGCTGGATGAACACAGCAGGCCAAG